TGACATTATAATTACTTTGTAGTCTTTGTTTTTAAATAAATATGCTGCCATCCCAATCAGGCAAACAAGCTCTCGCCAAGCAATGTGGCAATGATCTGCAACTAAAGCTTCTTTCACACTACAGTATATTGCAGACAATGTATACATCTCATGTATTTTGAAATAAATATGCTTTCATCTAATCAGGTACTTCCTTGGCAATGTGAAGAGGTTCTGAAACTAAAACTCCATTTACACTATCTTTTAGACATCCTACAAGTCTTTTGCATTTTTAAATGGGGCTGTCCCAATCAGGTTAACAAGTATGTGTCTTGCACTCTGGCAAAGATCTGCAACTATTAAAGCACTGTTCACACCATTACATTTCAATGTAACAGAGACCTGTGACTTGCCCATATATGGGTGTGATGACATCATCATGCCTATTATGTCCAAAATAGTTGGCATGGGTTGTAGAATAGCACACTGTGTTTGCCAGTAAACATGCTAATCACAAGCAAGTCTCTTCCATAATAATTCGATAAACTTTCAAATAAATTGCTTCCGGTTTTTTTCCTTGTTTTTGGATGCATTTGACAAGACTGTACCTTATTATGAGATTCCGATACTACATCTATCAGGTTAAAACAGCAAGATCACTGAAAACAAGTGCATAATATATTTTTTGTTAATAAGCAGACATTGTTTATACAGTTATACTATAAATACTTTTTCAAAACATCAACTATTAATAAGAATAGAAGAAAAATATAACACTCACATTTTTGGCAACTCATCGGTCAAGAATCCTGCCACTCGAGTTTAATACCAACATTTTTTGGTGTCTGTCTTCCCGATGAGCATTGTCCTGACGTAGACTATAAAAAAAGCTAAGTTAAAAATCTACCTGCAAATTTAATTGTGATATATATTTGCCGTAAGAATGCTTTCTCCAACTGTTTGTGTCATGTTGATGTTGTTTGCACTTTTGGCAAAATACAATGAGAAAATAAAAGAATGAATACTTAACCAGTGGTGTATCTAGGATTCTTGAAGTGGGGGGTAACCCCAAGGGGAAGGTGGCCTGATAGAGGGAAGGTGGAGTTGGGGCTCGATGATTAAGTGAGTGGGCGGTAGGTCGCAAAATAAAGTGATATGAGGTGATTTAACTACTTCATTTTTTTGCTTGACATTTTCAATGGGGGGATAGGAACAATGCAACCTTTTTTGGGGGTGGGGTGCGCCAAAGCCTGTGCCCCTAGATACACCACTGTAATCAACCAGCCCACACAAAAATAGTGTTTATACTGTAAGAAAAGCTATTTAAAAGATATCTTACAGGTATATCCTCAACAACTGAAATCTTGATTCCAGGCTCTTCAGACCCACATTCACAAAACTGTAAGGGGGTTTTAGAGTTGTCAAACACTCCAGGCTGGGGAACATGATCCAGTATATGTGAATGCTTAACCTGTAGGATAATTGAAGTGACAGCACATATTTAACTTATACTAGTACTCAATTTATATTTGTTAATACTAGCTACACCCACAATAGGTTGTTTATGTTTCAAGTCATCCCAAATTACACACAATTTGCAACACGTTAAAAACTTTTGGTATAATCGGTCTATATATGTTTCATAGGAGGTTACCTTAAGTACGACAAATATATAAAAGTATCAGCTATCTCAAAACAAACTAGTTTACCACAAGCTTTACAAATCTACTACAAGCTTCATGAGTTTTTAATGAGTTAGATATGAGCTAAAAACGAGTTAGACATGAGTGTCCCGAATTAGGCATATTTTTTTTTAAATTGGCTGTTTCAAAATTTGTTGTAAACTTGAGAAACTGGTGTAATGCTCAGAGAAAAACTTGTAGACAAATTGCAAAACTTGTATCTAACTTGTAGCAAGCTTGGAAAAACTTGAAGCAATCTCTTAGATAAATCATACAAACCAAATTTAAGGAACCTGTCAAAAAACCTTAGCCAAAACTGCAAACTCTTTAGTCAACACAACAACTTTTAGGAAATTATTCTGAGTTGTCTAAAATTCAACTGGGAGTGCTTCCAAATACCTACCGGTATGAGTTTCCAGACATGTTCAAAATTACAACCATGAGCACAGAGATACCATAAGTACAGTGGCTACAAGTTATCCACAAGTTTCCAAACTTGTCCTAAAAGTTCTCCTCAAATTTACAAAGTATTGTTACCTACTCACAAAACTCTTTGAGACTCATTGGAATAATTTAGGTGTGAGAGTTGCTTAAAACACAGGAAATTACATTACCTCTTCTTTAAACTCAGATATAGGTGGATCCATCGGTGAGACAGAACTTTCCTTATGAGATTGTGGAACTTGAACAGATTCAATACCGCTGTTGTCATCATTGTCAGTGCTCTGCCATAAAAAAAAGTAATGAAGCAAAAAGAAATAAATGTGAGGCTACTCATTTAATGCTGAAGCCAATGTTGCCATAAAAAAATATTATTTTCCAAGTCTGTACACATACAAAATTTAATAACAAGATTCGTTCTCTGTTACAACAGACAAAATAGAAGAGATAAAGAGATAAAGAGTCAGAGTGAAAAAAATATCTTGGCCAACATTTGTTTTATTAATGGTTGAAGACCATACAAAATTTGAAATACCTCATCTGAAACACCAGTAACTGCTGCTTCCACGCCCATCTCCCACAAGTTCACCAAATCAGACAACACAGCGAGGCGTTGTTTGAATTTTTCCACCGACACTTCACTTGCCATAGTGGCCAGCTTCTGGGCTTCAAAAAATGCTTGTTTATACATGTCTGAAGGTTCCATCGGCCTCTCATCACAAAATGGTGGTGATATTGGTGCAGCAACAGTTGTATCGCTTGCATTCACTGCATCAGGTTTTACGATGTTCTTTCTTAATTTATTTGCATGATTTGATAAATCACGCAATGTGACCATCTTTCCAGTGCTTTTCCTTATGTGAGACTGCAAACTGCGCATTGTGGGTTTCAGCGCTAGAATGGAATTCATACTTTGCCACTCTTCATTGCTCAACCTTCTTTGTTTTGGTAAAGACTGAAAAGTCCCCTGCGACATAAAGAAATTGAATTGAATTGAATATATGTACAGTATATAATAAGGGGTGGGGAGGTGGACAGTGGGAATTTTACTTTTTACTCCAGGACACTGACCCAGGCCTATATTCAGTCCCAATGCTTGGACGGTTTCTGGACAAAATGGCAGTACTCTAAACCAAAACGGCAAAAGTCAAAACGGCAATGACCAAAATGATGCTAAACAATTTATGTCATAAAAGAAAAAAAACGTGAAAAAATAAATTAATTATAAACATGAAAGTGTACTATGATTAAATACGGTAAAAATGAGGCTAAGTATAGCAGCATCAGCAGAAATAATATCAATAATAATAATAATAATAATAATAAAATTAATAATAATAAAAATAATCATACATATTCATTATTAAAAAGACTGGGGGGGGGGAAACAATATAAAAGCAGTAAAACATTTAAACTAATAAAACTTTCAAATACAGATAAAAAGAGGCTAAAAAAATTTATATTATGTCATAAGTAAAAAAATGCGAAATAATAATAATAATAATAAACATTGAAAGTGGGAAAAAGAGCCCATGGCAATATTCGATTTGCCTATCAGGACAATTTCAGAACGATTCATCATTCAGAAAATTATAAGCTGCAGCCTGCACCCGGGGGTGCTTGCATAGTCTTGGCCTAGATTTCGCTCATTTGCCATTTTGGTATACTGTTTTGGTACTTGTCATTGCCATTTTGGTCTGTTGCCGTTTTAGTACTTGTCATTGTCATTTTGGTTCATTGTCATTTTGGTTCATTGCCATTTTGGTTTATAGCCGTTTTGACCTGCTACCACTTGGACTCGATCGAACCCCCAAACAGCAAATTTCTGGCGCCACCGATGGCCCTTACATGTTATCATGCCTTTACGTAAATTGGTATCTCACCAATAAAAAATAAGTGCCACCATATTTCATTAACATCTTGCAATATTATTTAGCTAAGTTTGTTTATGGTAACAAACAATGACAAGGAAAACTAAAAAAATGCAATTTACCTCTGAAATTTCATGATTGTGAGAATTAGTTATCCCTTTCACGACCAATTTCTCTCCATCAGATGACGCAGACACTTTAATAGTGAACGGGCAATTCTTAACAAAAGAACTGAAAAAAAAAAAAGTAGTTAATGGACCTCTTCAGAATGTCAATCAGAACAGAAGCATAATGCACGAGTCTTGCGCATGAGCATCCACTTTGCAGGTCTGATGCAGTGGTGGTACCAGCGGGGGGAGGGGGAGTGGAATTTCCCCACATCCTTTGGACAGGCCCTGGACCCACCTGTCGCCTGACAAATGGCTAGATCGTCAGACCAAAAATAAAAAACAAAGTAATAATTTGTATATATATTTAAATAAACACTATTTTGGTTGCCAATCCCTAATATTGTGGGACCAAATTAAGCCATAAACTCTCCCCTTGCATTTTGAACCCAGGAACAGGGATTTTTTCATTCCGTCGACCGATGACCAAGGTTTCGTCATCGCCTTGGTTCGGACCCCCTCCTTCGGACATGTCGGATTAATTGTCAGCAAATTTCTGGCGCTGGTCTGATGCCTAAGTTGTATTATCACACACATCATAAACAATTTATAAAGGATAAAATGTACAGACTGATTAATCCTAAAATTCATAAAAATGAAGTGAATCCGTCATTAAAATGTGAATACAGGACATATCCATTTCTTTTAACAACTATACTGACTGAAGAGTAATCATTAGAAGTTCCACCACAACTCTTTCATAAAAAAATATAACATCAGTTGCTCTATTTCATGATTGTTACATAGAAGGCGCTGTATACTTATTTTTGTCTTGCGCATCAGGTGTAAGATTTTCACATTATTCTCTTATGGGACCAGTAGCAAAAATATCCGAGGGGCGGGGCTTTAGGTAAGAGATTCATTGTCATGCCCTTTCGGCGTTCCATATTTTAAATAAAGCAAACATGAATGAAAAATGAAAACAAACACTGATCGTAAAATCGGTTGTTCAACACCTTAGCTTATTCGTAGCCGAATTCATACACCTCCGTAACTCATATAGCAATACCTCACGAGTATATTCAAAGAACAATGATATGTAATTTAGCCTATTTATTACTAGAAAAGAAATATTAAGTAATTGTATCATACGTTTGATTTGGTCTATCACCTCGCGATCTTGTTTTAAACTTCCTACCGCCGTGAATGCATGCATACTGTAGGTCGTAATATTGCAACCTTGGGTTAAAACGGCGCATGGGAACACGTTTCTTTGCTGCTTCAAGAGTTCTTGAGCATCTCACATACACACTGACACAGTTACTAATTTCCCATGATCTTAATGCTGCAGAGAACGCTTCAAAATCATTATACTCTGCACCTTCCTGGAGAACAACAGGTTCAACACTCGCCATGATGCCGTGTCTATATTCTATATTATATTATTCCAGGTATATTAAGTTAAAGTACTGTATGCCAAAACAGGCTTCGGTCATGTTCGATCTCCATAACCGCGCTACGTCTGTTTGGAGTCTACTATTCATTTCGGGTAGCTAGGGGGTACAAATGTATGAGGCGCCAAGTGTAAATTTATTATTTAACACAATTATTTATATATAATTCATTATTTAACATATAATTGACTAGATCACCCATTATTTATATATAGTGCATTTGCGTCTAAAAGATTATATGTAAATAATTGCGTTAACGTTTCATTATTTATATATAATTAGTTTACTGATTACAATATATATAAATAATGAAAGGCTAACCAAACATTATTTATATACAATAAGGTTACTGGCTTCAATATATATCAATAAGGAAGGGGAAACACATCATTATATATAAATAATGAAAAATAACTATTATTTATATATAATAAGTTCACTGATTCCATTATATATAAATAATGAAAAGGTGACAAATCATTATATATTACAATTATTTATATATAATAAGTTCACTGATTCCATTATATATAAATAATGAAAAGGTGACAAATCATTATATATAAATAATGAAAAGTAACTTACAATTATTTATATATAATAAGTTCACTGATTTCATTATATATAAATAACGAATTGACTTCAAACTCATTATTTATAAAGGTATACAGCAGATTAGTGAATCCAGTGGCCAATAATAATAATAATAATAATAATAATAATAATAATAATAATAATAATAATAATAATAATAATAATAATAATAATAATAATAGATCAATGACACTAATTTAAAATATTTTGCGTTCTGTTATGACAAATGCTCGTTTGGATACCCTCATGATGCTTGGAATACATCGCGATAGGGGAAGCAACCTCGACCTTGACATCATGGTTGACAGATTTCGTGCAAAATTTCCATAATGTAGAATTTCACTTTAAAGAAAGAGGATTTGTAAGGAAATGATATGGTTACATTGCAAACTCTTTGTTTCTTGTTTAATTCAAAATGTTTTGGTTTTGGAAGCTGATTTCGACATTAGAAAACATAGCCTACATGAAGTCATATTATAGTAGCTCGATGCCTATCAAATAAGTAATAAAAATTCGCCATAATTCGTCAAATATCCGTGGCTGCCTGCAACCCCACCACAGTGGCATAAGCAAGAATTTAGTCTAATGAAACTTTTTTATTGTTATATTGTTAAATATACTAATATTGTTAAATATCGGTTAGTTGCTGGTGGTGACTTTTAATGAGTAACACAGTTCCTTTTAGTACACTGCAAACTTTTATTCACACAAACTGTACATGGTTACAATCAGCTAAACTCCAGGTTTCAGATGTTAGAGAACCCTTTTTGAGTGGAGTAAGCTCAGCTCTGTACTTTGCTTCTGTGTACTCCTAACTACTAAATTGAATATAACTACTGACTCAGTGATATGGGGGTGTTTGCCTATCATACTTTAGGTAATGGGGGTGTGTCTTAAGTAAGTCCCCCCCCCCACATACTTTTAGAGTTTCTGATTGGATCATAGAGAAGTTCTTTCTCTATGATTTAGTAACTTGTTTACCAAAAAACTGCTAATTAAGATGTATCACAAACTTCAGAGCTTAGGCTCAAAACTGACAATCATAGATTCATAGTGTGAGAAAGGCCAATTCCAACTGACTAGGGTAAAGTTATACAATGTCCAGTTATATTATTAGATTATCTGTATACTCAAGTTGACCATTAAAACTGTCAAACCAATTTAAGGCATTTATCAGGTGAAGGGTACTGATTCCAATGGTTATGCAAGTTAATACTATTGAACCTTAAAACTACATTACAATATCACCGAAAAAATA